TAGATCACGCAAGACACAAAACATACACTTGCTCCAATAAATCAAGCAAAAATAGGAAGGAAAATAATTGGTGCTGAAGTTTCTTTGTTAGGCAGAATTTTAATAGAAAGCAACAAGGAATATGACGTGTCGATCCTGAATAAAGTTTTGTTGAAAAACGAAAAATTAGCTCATGTGCGCCATAATGTGCTGACGGCATCGAGCGGCGTTGTGACCGACAACACGGGCTGTTGGCGCAACGTGTTGCGCAGTCGATATCGTGCGATCACTCGTTTATATATATATAGAGAGAACAACATTATTAACAATAAAGAACCCTGTCGGGTCTACTAAAGAAAAAACCTATCTATCAGACAGGCCTAGAAGTTGCAAATGCTGGAGCAGTGTCTTCATGATGTCAGGAGAGGAGTCCGCCAGCCACTCTCCAGGGTTGCAGGCATATGATTTGGAGTCTGTAGCCTGGAAGTTCTGGGCTCAAGCAGCCAATAGCAAGATACTGGAACATGATCAATATCATTTACCTATGTTTGCTTGTCGCTACATGCTCATCGACGCGCGCCAACAACAATGCTCTCCAAAGTGTATAGCCAACGGCGAAGACGACGTGGGCATCATTGAACGCGAATGACCGTGGACAGCAAATAAAAGTCCCGCGCCGTTTCTGACGCTGCTTGGCGGCCATTGGGGTGAGACCAGTTTGGACAGCCAGAGGAGACGGTCGTGTCTGTGCGCTCCGCGCTTTTTCGCTGCCTCTCCTTGACGTCAGTAGCTCCCCAACTCCCGCTGAGTGCGGTCGCTCGCGGGCCGCGCTCGTCAGGAGTACGGCTCCTCCGCAGCAATGCGTTCGCGCTCCTGCGACAGTGACGGACATCTACATGATCTGCGGTCGCAACTGCTGTGGAATAGCCTGCCATGGACTGCCCGGAACCCCCCACACCTCACACTGCAGTTAGTGAATTAATTCTTTTTCACTTCGCGTGTTGTACGCGGCCGACCGGCGTGTGTCGTGGTGTAGGGCACGGCTCATTGCATGTAGCTTAGACGCATTTTCGCCGCCCCTGTGTGTGCGGTGCACAGGCGCTTGAGTCATAACGAACAACAGTGTCCATTACGCGCGACCACGCTATTGGGCAACCACTTTTGTGCAGTGTGCGTTTTTTTTTCCTTTTTTTATAGCGAACTTTGACAGTGACGCTTCGCAGCCCTCCTTAGTGCCACCGTTTTTTTTTTTCTCTCTCTGCACTAATTGTGAAGTGTGTTTTCCTGAGCGGTGTCGCCCACCCCTGGCATTTCGTGCACGAGTGTAACCATGCACTCGCCTAGGCGCAACACCGACGCCCACTCGCCCATCGTGGCATCCCCTCCATCGGCAGACAGCGCTTAGTGCTGCCCGTATCCTGAAGAGCTCACAAGGCGTCGCTATTCTCACCGAAGATCAGAGAGCCTCCCAACCAACAAGGTACAGGCACACCGCCACCTCTTCTTCGAGAAGATAGCGACGAAAACATCCAAGCCATAGTGGAGAAGTGGCTGCAGGCCAACCCTGTCGCCCCCACACAGGCCCCCATGCCGGCCTCTCAGTGCGCCAGCGGGGCCACACCTGCCATCATAACCACCAGAACTGCAGAGGAGCCACCACAAAGCCCCACGCAGAGCGAAGCTCCTGGGCAACACAGGGGCCTGCTGGTGTTCCCCTACCTCTGAGCTCAGATGAGGACGACGAGGCGATGGATTTCCTCAACTCACGGAAGAGGCTGCGGGAAGAGAGTGGGGACGAGGACGACCACGCTCCCCGAAAGCAAACGGCCACTACCTCCCCCGACGAGGAATCACACGCTTCACAGGGCTCAGAGGAGATGTCCGGGAGCGAGTTCCGAACCGTGATGAATTCCGAAGGGGCGTCCTCCACAGGGGATATGACAACATCTGCCCCAACAGGCGGCCGGACCCAACGAGCTTGGATGGTGCAGGCACTCACCAACACCCACTACCGCCTCAACAGTCGACCTACCGCCTGCAACAACCGAATCTCCCGAAACCCACCCTCCGACGCTTCAGCTGCCATGGAGGTGGTTGAAGAGGTTCCACTCGTACCGCTGCAGGGGGCAACATCCGAAAGGAAGCCCCTTATACGGCGAAGGACTTTCTGCTCACATCGTCAACAGGGGCCACTCATACCAACAGCAGAAAGAAGGGGAAGAAGCCAACCAAGAAGCGACCCCCGGCTACTGCATCGGAGGGCACAGCTGCCAACCTTCCCCAACCTTTCAGCAAGGCCCCCACAGCAGTGGACACACCAAGGAAGCACAGCAGTGCGGTGGGGAGTCCCCCAGACACAGAGGGCTTCCAGGTGGTCACCACCAAAAGCGCCCGACGCCGTGCCAGGGACCTTGCTGCTGCTGCGGCCCTCCCGGTCGACCCGGCCATTGTGGGCACAGTTCTGTTCCGGCCGTCAGCCCCGGAGGTACCTTCAGTGGATCCCCACGCCTCATCCTCGCACACGCACTCTCTACAAGGCCCGGCGTGGCTGCAATACGCGTAAACCACAAACGCAACATTGTGGCTGCTGACGCTACCACGCGAGAGTGCTGGAGCAGCTCCTGAACATCAAGGAGCTAAAGGGGATCCCCGTCACTGCCAAGGAACCCGCTGACCACAAGACCAGCACGGGGTTCCTACATGGTGTCGACGGGGAGCCTGCGGTGGACAGCCTGCTGCCTGGGATCAAGTCGGCCGTTCCGGTGCTCTCTGCTGCCAGGGAGGGGCGAACCGTGACGCTCCGCTTCGCCGGCCCTGTGCCGCCGGAGCACGTGTCTCTTCTTGGTCCGTTTCCCAGTGCGGCCAGCCAGACCCCGCCCTCTGCAGTGCCGGCAATGCGGTCGGTTCGGCCATGTGAAGGAGAGCTGCAGCTGGCCAGGCAGCTGCATCAGATGCGGCCGGACCCACCTTGGAGAGAGCTGCAAGCAGACCCGGTGTGTGAACTGCGGGGGCCCTCACTCTGCAGACCCCAGAGTCCCTCGGTGGCAGGAGCAGCGGAAGATTGCCACAATCATGGCATCCTCCCCAACAATCCTCTCGAGGCGCACAGTGGCAGCAGCGGTGCGAGAGGAGATTAGGGAGGCGCGGTCTTTTGCAAGCGTGGTGAAGGGCCACCCCGCCGCCCCCCTCCTGCCAGACCCATCCCGGCGCCTCGAAAATCTCGCCGCCAGCCACTCCAGGGACTGCAGTCCACCAGTGCTGCTGCCCATATGGCCCTGCCAGTGGCCACTGTGTTCCTGAGGCCCCTCCTGCTGCAGCTGCCACTCCGCGGCCCAGCCTGCAGCTATTGCCCCCGGAGGCCGGCCTGCTGTGCCCATGGCTCCTGCGGCCCTGCCTGATGCGACAGTAGAGTTGCCTCCAGCTGACCCGGCCTACCAAATCGTCGCCACCCTGCTGAACACCCTGCGGTCTGTGGGAGAGTCTCTTCCCCTGGACCACCCTCTTCGAGCCATCTGCTTACAGACGGGAGGCTCTCCACTCCCCACAACTAATCATGGCTAGCTCCCCACCCGGAACGAGCCGAGGCCGACGCCCTAGCGTTCTGCAGTGGAACGTAAACTGGCTGGGGCGGCGAAGAGACGACCTGGCAGAGCACCCTGCGGAGCGACTACGACGTGCTTGCACTACAGGAGGTGTATGCCCAGGCGGAGGACCTTCGCCTGCCAGGGTACGTTGGATACAGCAGCAGGACGGCTGCACTCTGGCGACCTGCCGTGATGCCCCCTGCCTGAACGACAGCCACCAGCAAGGACGTTCCCGGTGTGCTATCTACGCCAGGCGCGAGCTCCCGCAGGCAGAGGTGAAGGTGGCTGACCTGGCTGGAGGCCCCTTTGAATGCTGTGCCGTCCGCATTCACATCGGGGGGCAGGACACCACTGTGGCCAGCATCTACGTTCGGCCGGGCCAGCCCTGGGACCCCAGATGCCTTCGTCAGCTGGCGCATCGCCTGGGCAAGGAGTTCCTGCTTTGCGGGGACGTCAATGCAAAACACCCAGCATGGGGCGGTCGCAGGACTGACGCTCGAGGCAGAGAGCTGCGTGATGTCCTCCAGCAGCTGGGGCTGGCGATCCTCAACTCGGGTGCCAACACCTTCCTCCGTCGTGGGCAGCAGGTCACCAGCACTGCCATAGACCTCAGCGTTGCCACGGAGGGTTGCCGGTATGCCTGGTCACCATTCCCGGACACTTGGGGCTCGGACCACCTGCCCATCCTGCTGTCTCCCTTCAGAGGTAGGGCTCCACGGGATCGCGAGTACCGCGTGGTGGACTGGCAGGTCTACCGGCGACTACTCCAGCAGGACGCGGGCAGCGGGGACCTGCTGCAACTGGTGGCCCACAGTGCGAGGGCAGCAACGGTCACTGCCAAGGTTCAGCAGGGACAGCCCGTCCCAGACATCCGGCACCTGGCTCAGAGGGCGGCACGGCGACGTGCAGAGCAGCAAGCCCTGAACAAACGCCAACCGGAGCTCTGGACGGTCTTCCGGCGAATCGATGCCGTCTGCAGACGCCACGCATGCAGGCGCTGGAACCAGGGCTGGCAGGGCGTGTGCGCCTCGATCAACAGCTCGCGGGATGGGACGAAGGCCTGGCGCCTGCTGAAGTGCCTGGTGATGGCGCCCCGGTCCCTGAACCAGGGACTGTCCCTGGCTGTTCACCTGTCGACCACGGCTGCGAATCTGGCAGAACGGCTGGCTGACCAGTTTGCTGCCAGAGATAGAGCCCCACTGCCTGCTGCACCACCGCCTGCTGCCCTCCCTTGCCCTACCTCTTGTCACCATCCCAGATGGCGTCCGCGCAGGTGCGGGAGCTGTGCGAAGAGCCCATAGCAATACATGAGCTGGTGGCAGCCCTCGCGAGGACCAAGCGATGTAGTGCTCCAGGGGCCGACGGCATCACCTTCCAAATGCTCCGCAACCTGCATGGGGGTGGCCGTCAACGACTCCTGGAATACTACAATGACGTATGGGCACCGGAGCCTTACCCGAGTCCTGGCAAACTGCGGTGGTGGCACCAATCCTGAAGCCCCGGAGGAAGGCCACGGCTCTCTCCTCCTACCGGCCAGTGTCTCTCACCTCCGCGCCCTGCAAGGTGATGGAGAGGGTGGCTCTGGAGAGACTGGAGTGGATTGCCGACCAGGGCTTCTTCCCGGAGCAGCAGACGGGCTTCAGGCGGCACCGGTGCACGGCAGATTCCATCTCGGACGTCGTCGCTACCCTCGAGGACGCCAGGAGCAGCGGGGACGTGGCCATGCTGCTGCTGCTGGACGTGGAGAGCGCCTTGACGAACTCCCACACGTGGCGGTCGAGGCGGCCCTGGACCGCCTCGGCATCAGCGGTAGCCTCCGAGGCTTCGTGACCGCCTTCCTGTCCGGGAGGACCTTCCGCGTCCGCGTTGGAGGGGCAACCAGCAACCCAGGGTCATCACTGCTGGTGTCCCACAGGGTTCAGTATTGAGCCCCTTCCTCTTCAACATCGCACTGGCAGGACTTCCGGCATCCCTCCCAACAGACACCAGGTTCCCGGCCCGCTGCTCTATCTACGCAGATGACGTGGCACTCTGGGTCCGGGGACCAAGGCGGTCCATCCCCGCCATCAGGAGATCACTGCAGGCGGTCCTCGATGCAGTGGTAGCCTACCTCAGAAGCATCGGGCTTAAGGTCTCTGCCACAAAGACCGAGGCCCTGCTGATTCACCCGCTGGCGGCAGCACGCACCCACGTGAGACGGCTGAGGATTGGCAGTCGCAGCCTGCCTTGGAGATTGGTGGTGAGGTACCTGGGCCTCACCATCGACCACCGACTCACCTGGATCCCGGCTGCCAAGGCTGCTGCCACCAAGGTGCGGCGCGTCCAGGGCGCCATCAGCAGGCTGCAGCTGCGTGGCCGCGGCTGCTCCACCAAGTGGGCCCTCCGGCTCAACCAAGCTGCGGCGTCCTCGGTCCTCCTGTACGCCTTCCCGCTGGTGAGCCTGACACCGGCCAGGAGACGCCTGCTGGAGGGACTCCACAGGAGTGCACTGAGGGCCATCCTGGGGCTTCCCAAAAGCTCGCCGGTGGCAGCAACTCTCGCAGAGGCAGGAGAGTGGCCCCTGTCGTTACGTATGCTACAACGAGCGCTGGGCCACATTGACCGCCTTCACCGCGCCACCGACGGCAGGGCCCTCCTGGAGAGCCTCCGCAGCCAGCCAGGATCACGGATGGGAGGCCTCTGCCTGCTGTATCACCAAATGGTCCCAGATCCGCCAGTTCCGGTTGCCTCTCCACCGCCTCACCACCAGCCACCAGAGGTCCACCTCTGCTTGGAAGGGGCAACAAAGCGACGAACGCCTGTGGCCGCACTGACACAGGCGGCCTTCTGCAAGCTCCAGGAACAACTGGAGGGACGGCTGCAGGTGTTCACGGACGGATCTGTGATGCCAGACGGGACCGCAGCGGCCGCATGCGTAATCCCGTCCAGAACCAACAGCCGGCAGTGCAGGCTTCCCTTTCCGGCGAGCTCCACGGGCGGAACTGGCTGGACTGCATCTCGCAGTAGACCTGCTGGCTGAGGACATCCCCCTTCAGCCGGCCGCGGTTCTATGCGACAGCAAGGCGGCCCTGCAGACCCTGGCCAACTCCCACCGTGCCGGACTGACGGCCTGCCTCCTGAGAGCCAAGGTTCGCGCCCTCACGGACGCCGGGGTGTCCGTCTCCTTCCACTGGCTGCCCTCCCATGTGGGCATCGCTGGAAACGAGAAGGCAGACACCCTCGCCAAGGCTGCCCACCAGCCTGGTACTCCCTACTCCTGTGCCGTGGCGGCCAGGGATTATTCACAGGCCCGTCTCAAGAGGCTCCTCATCACAGTCCACCCAGACCCGAGGGTGGCCGGCGGGCCAGGACCAAAGCCTCTCCCTGAGACGGGCCTCACCAGGAGAGAACGGGCCTCCCTCTTACGACTGCGGACTGGCTGTGTATGGACGGCGGCCCGCCGCCACGCCAAGGGCCTCTGTCCCTCCCCGGCCTGCAGCCGCTGCGGAGACCCAGAGACCCTCGAACACCTCCTCTGTGCCTGCCCTGGCTTAGCACAGGAACGCTTGAGGGCCTACGCGGCTACAGGAGACAGGGCCTGCCCGTCTCCACCCTGAAACACCTGCTGTTCCCGTCTCGTCCACATCCAGCAGCACTCCGCAGCCTGGCGGAGTTCGTGGAGGAGTCAGGAATTGCCGCCTACCATTGAACCCAGGAGCCATGCTGCCCTTGCCCTTGCCGACGGCCTGCTGCTCGCGCTGAAGCGGCCCGGACATCCCTCTCTACACTCCACCACTATTTCTCCTATCCTCTTTCATCCCCCTCTACCCACCCAAAGGCACTGCGCCGTGTCGCCTGTAGGCAGACAGAAACTAGGTGCCTTCTTCCTTTTCCACATGAACCACTACCACCACCACCATTGGGTGTCATCTTGTAGTGGGCAAGAAAAGCTCGGCGAGTGCGGGCTGAGGTTCTGCGTTTCTTTCTTTCGAACAGCAATCCGCAATGCACCGTCCTAAATCCTTCCTGCATAAAACAACGCCCAAAATAATTTCCGACGGAGGCAGAAATGTTGCAGGCCCGTGTGCTCAGAGTTGGGCGCTCGTTAGAGAACCCCAGATGGTCGAAATTTTCGAGCCCTCCACTACGGCGTCTCTCATAATCATATGGTGATTTCGGGACGTTAAACCCCACATATCAATCAATCAACAACGCCCTACATGTGTGAAACGACGAAGTAAAACAATGAAATCTAGCAATGACAAGTGTTATGACAAGTGACGACGAAATTCGATCGGGATGCCACATCAGGAGACGACAATTGCTGACAAACCCACAAACAAGATGGCGTCAGTTATAGAGCGTATCTACGCGCTATCTCAACTTTAAGAGTTGACTGTTGTGTGAGTCAGTGTGTGCTGACTTGATTGTGCACTCACGGTGGTTGCTATCATCTCTGCACTGTGTGATACAGCAACCATCGCAGAGCCGCACCGCAGTGGCGGGACGTGTGCCCCATTGGCGGTGTGGCTCTGCAGATAGCGCGCGAATAGGCCCTTCAGAGGGCTCACCAGTACAAGCGCCCATAGAAAATACATGTGTACTTTCTCAAGCTGTAGCTCGTCCGAATTTGGTCAAATATACACGGGTTTTTCGGCACTGTATTCCTTTTTAGTCTATGGAGAAATGTTGCTGGCAGATTTTCTGCTCAGGCTTTATTTTTTGAATAAAGCAGGGAAAAATATCCAGAAGAATTGCACTTTTGTAGTCTCGCTCTTTTTTTGTCTCTTAAAGACGATAACTCATTGATGATGATTTGATTGACTGAATAATTGATTGATTGATTGATTGATTGATATGTGGGGTTTAACGTCCCAAAACCACTATATGATTATGAGAGACCGCCGTAGTGGAGGGCTCCGTAAATTTTGACCACCTGGGGGTTCTTCAACGTGCACCCAAATCTGAGCACACGAGCCTCCAACATTTCCGCCTCCATCGGAAATGCAGCCACCGCAGCCAGAATTTGAACCCGCGACTTGCGGGCCAACAGCCGAGTACGTTAGCCACTAGACCACCGCGGCGGGTCTAACTCAATTAATGAAGTTATTTCCACAACATTTCTTTCCTTTTTCATTCCTGATTGTTATTGCATAACTTTTATGCAGATCATTCGAGCGGTTCACCTTTTACAGGATTGAAAAGTGTTGTGTGTGCTTTCTGTGTGTATTTAAAAATAACCCCAAAATCATCAGGCGCCACGTGGCTTCACCTGGTGCCATCTATACTCAGCAATACTACACGCTACCACCAACCACTCATGTGGATGTATTGGTGTGTTCTGGAGAAAAGAAATAGACGCCCTGACTGTGCTGAAATAGTTTTCTTTTTGTGTGTGGGACAGGAGAGAAGGGGGAGGGTTGTAATTGACTATTTCTTTTCCTTGTGTTACTTTCATGCCATCTGTCAGGGGTGCGCCATGCGACAATGAAGAGGAATGCTGTGTGTGCGCCCCAAACACAAAGCAGCGTTTGGATGAATACTTCCTCAAAGCATGGTCACCCTAGCAGGTTGTCCAGAAATGCTCGGTGTTTAGCGATGATTTTTATCAAAGTAGTTATACCCTGAACCGTGCCTAATCGTGGTATTCAGTGGCGCAGGGGTTTACTGTGGTGGCAAAAATAACAGCCCTGGCTTCTGCAACAGAGACTTGTCCACGTTGCTCTCTTCGGGTGATCGGGATGACGCAGGTTCAGTGACAAGCGTGACATCATCACTGTTTGGAAACTTCATAAGGAAAGACAAATTAGATTTTCAAATAATATATATAATATATATATATATATATATATATATATATATATATATATATATGTGTGTGTGTGTGTGTGTGGTGTGTGTGTGTGTATCTTACTGCGAAGAATAATGGCCAAGAGAATATGGTTATAGGAAAAGAGGTGATGGAACCTTCATTTTGCCAATATACTTTATCCTCCACCATAGCTAGGCGATGGCGTCTTCATGTTTCGGCATTTTAGCGTTTCGGTGTTTTGATTTTTCGGTATTTTAAATTTTCAGCGTCTTGAGTTTGGCATTTGAATTTTCGTCGTTCTGACGTTCGGTCTTTTAATATTTCGGCGTCTTTATTTTCAGCGTATTGTTTGGGCCGCTAGCAGACGACATCGCCCTGTTCTTAGCAAAGTACTTTTGCGTAACGAATTGTTTGTGGTGGAACTGAGAACGCGTAAGCAAAACCAAAAGAAAACAGGACAGGGAATTGGACTGGCTACATTTATCCTAAAGGACAGCACTGAGCTGTTTTGCATAATATATTTTCTTATATTTGTCGCCTCTGCTGGCAGCCGGGCGATTCCATCGGCACTGCCCAAATGGACAAAATATATCACCGTACAACACAAACTTGACATCTGTGTACACGCCTTTCGATAGTGCATCCTCGATGGTACAGAATAACGGCAGCAGCCTAAATACAGGACGGTACGAAGGTAGTCAACAAACATATCATAATTCTTTCATTTCTACAACATAATGAAACCCAACAGATAATAAGTCACGGAGGGTATATAGGACGTAAATCTTACTGTTTTAACTGCGTTGTAGTAATTGTGATATATACGGTGAAAAAAGTGTAATGTACAAAAACACCAATAAAAAGTTTTCATTTCGTAGAAAACAGCCAGACGAACTTTAAAATAAGTTTGTTCATTCATTCCGACACCCAGTTTACTGTTTTCACATTTGGGTCGCGATGACTCCAATACAGGGAAAGCTGTACAATTCAAGCCCATTCTACATTCATTGGCTTCAACTGTTCAATTTCATTGAAGTAACATTTTAAGTAGACATATATTGTATATGGAAGCAGGGAAAATGTTGGTGTCTATTAGTGTGAACAAATGTGTCATTTACCATCGCCATCAATGATTCTATCAACAATTTGAAGTGTGTAAGTTGGCTCAACGCCACACTGTGTATAGCTTATTTTTAGTGAAAAAAAAACAAAACAGTAGTCGTATGCACTGTAGTAATTTCTCGAGCGTGTATCACCCAGTAACTCGATTGATCAGCACAGTTGTAAACAGGAATGGACTCTGGTTACGTTCAGTGCCTCGCACAGATACTCATTTTCGCTGCACACTGAACTCTGACCACGCACTGCTAGCTCAGCGTACTTCAAAAAGCCGCACTGGTCGTCTGCCATGTATTCGAGTGTAAACAAAAATTTTGCCCGTGGAATCAATGGCTTCCTGTTTCCAATACTGCTCTGGCAGTTCAACAACAAGTACCAGTTTCCCCGTCGGGGTGAATTCGTTGAACGAAGGGTGCTCCGAGTAGTGACCTCGTCTGCCATGCATTCTGCATACCACAACTGAAGGCGCTGGTTTTTGTCCCCATAGCCTGAGGAAGCGAATAGCACCTTCTTACAACTTGTTTGAAGGGCTACTGAAAATGTGGGACAGCCTGTCACAATAAGCAGCAGACAGCTGTGGAGGCACAAAATTGGCATTGTTGAACCTACAGGTGCGGTGTGACAAAAGCGAGAAGTCATGGGATCGCTAGGTCGTAAATAGTTTTGACCCCGCGGGTATCATTCGCTACGGTTGAGGCAGAAAAACTTGGAATGTTTTCAGACAAAATGGTCACCGCAATATCAAGTAGTCCCGGGCAAGTTTTCAGAAGCTTAGTTTCCCATGCGGAATTAAATTTCAGTGTCCTGATGAGATTTAGACACCTAAAGCGTGCTTTAACTTCCCACCTTTTTATGGTGTGTAAGTGCTGCCACCAATGAACGCGAAAAATTCAAATGCGACGCGATGTGGTGCCTTCCCTCTACAGAGAGACTAGGCGCGCAGCATTTCGTACCTCTCTCTCTCTCTCTCTCTCTAGGAATTGCACGATGCCGCGTCAAAAGGCAAGGAAAAACTGCAGCCTCTCCCAGAGACGGGCCTCACCAGGAGAGAACGGGCCTCCCTGTTGCGACTGCGGACTGGCTGCGTGTGGACGGCGGCCCGCCGCCACACCAAGGGCCTCTCTCCCTCCCCGGCCTGCAGCCGTTGCGGAGACCCAGAGACCCTCGAACACCTCCTCTGTGCCTGCCCTGGCTTAGCACAGGAACGCTTGAGGGCCTACACGGCCTACAGGAGAAGGGTCTACTCGTCTCCACCCTGTAAAACCTGCTGTTCCCGTTTCGTCCACATCTAGCAGCACTCGCAGCCGGCGGAGTTCGTGGAGGAGTCAGGAATTGCTGCCTACCGCTGATTCCCAGGAGCCCTGCTGCCCTTGCCCTTGCCGACGGCCCGCTGCTCGCGCTGAAGCGGACCGGACAATCCCTCCTTACACACCACACACTATTATTCCCTATCCTCTTTCTCCCCTCTACCCCACCCAAATGCAATGCGCCGTGTCGCCTGTAGGCAGACAGAAACTAGGTGCCTTCTTCCTTTTTCTCATGAACCACTAACACAACAAACTGCACGCGACGCGCTGCGAAGGTAAACGTGTGGTCAGGCCTTTAATGGAAAATGGTGCGTACGAAGTTAGAATACGCACTTGACCAGCGCATCTGTGAGGGCCGAACGTCAACACGATCGCTAGC